CCTTGCTCATTGTTTTCATCTCCCATCTCTGAAATTTCCAACTTCCTTGCACTGAAGGATCTCTGGAAGTATTACATTTTCAAAGAAACTGTCCAGTTTGGCAAGGGAGTATTCTATGAAATGTTTGTTTAAAGGGATTCCCTCCACAATGTGTAAATCTTCGTTAATGAAGACACAAAAGTCTCCCACTTCCATCCTTTTCACATGTACCTGTAGTTGTATTTTGGTATAGTATGCATGTGTCTCTTTCAAATGACCTTTGTCATCTAGACAAAAATCAGGAACACTTTTAGCTGCTTCCATTGGTAGTACGTCTTTATGTTTAAAAGGGCATTTTATTTCAGCAACTCTTGGGCAGCATTTGCAAGTTGCAATTCCATCAGCTGATGCTCCAAAATATGGCCTGTCAAGATCTATAACAAAGCCAGACCAACTGCATTCAAAATTCTCATGAGTTAGCTTTTTTCCACTATATACCTCAGTCGGGCCTTGTCCTCATTGTCAATACCCCTTCGAATCGGCTTAATTTTAGAAAGGTCATAGGCTTTGTAACCCATAATTGACTCCAGCAAGTTCTCAGGAGGTGTACTCTTTTTCCTCTTTACTTCACTGTGTGCTTTGCTTGCTGTGATTCTTCCTTTGCGGTGCTCAGAGTATATGGGGCAGACTGATTCCTGGTAATTTTCTCCAACTCTTTGCATTGCTCTGGAATGACTTGTAATTCTTTAGCAATCTGGCTGCATTTTTCATTTAGCTGATATTTGGTAAGTGAAGCATATTCTTCTGAGTATAGAGCTGTCAATGGCTGAGGTATGTTACTCTCATCTTCATCTTCTGATGCACTGTCTGTCTCCTCGGGGTCAAGTTTGGGGATTAAACTGGAGAAAGCTGCTCTTGGACATACTTCGTTTAGGCTTTTTAATACAGACAGATCAGGGAAGGTTGGTGATGGGGTATAAGAGACTGAAGGTACATTTCCTTTCCTATTCCTCTTAACAAGGTCGGTAAACTCAGCAACTGATCTGGGATTAATCTGATTGAAACATTGGAAAAGAAGATAAATAAGCAAAATGCAAATAAATTATCTCAACTTAATTACCAAACACACTTATTAGTGCCTACAAGAACATTTTGTATGACAAGCAACGAACTAACCTTTTCTCTGAACGTTTTGTTCCACTTGCATACTTCACTAGTGCTGGAAGTCTTGGTAAGACCTAGCTTCACAGTAACTTCTATTTTAAACAGGACAGCGGCGACCTGACGGCAAACTTCTCCAAGCCTGCGATCGAGAAAAAAGGAAATACACTTTTTTTTCGTAGAATAATGCGTGTACCTTAGTGCCAACCGTTTTCCTACGACATGGGAAAACGAAAATCGAACTTCCAATTTCGTTTTTCGTTTACCCCGGCCGTCGGAAAAGGGAATTCGAACTTTCAGTTTCGTTTTTCGTTTTCCTACTACATTGAAAACGAAATTGGAACTTCTATTTTCGTTTTTCGTTTTCCCATGACTTCGTACAACAGAATTGCAGTTGTCATTTCCGTTTTTCATCTTCTATTTTCGTAAGACATTGAAAAACGGAATTTGAACTACGATTTTCGTTTTTCGTTTTCGTGTTCTATTATATTATCTCAAGACAGTAGCCTATTAAGCAGACGCTATCGCTCTTTGGGCTTATATATATATTTTTTCCTATCTTACGATCCTCAGAATGGACGCAGCTATATTTATAGAAAACTAATATTTACGAATTTTTGAGCCCACTACAAACCGTATCGAGCGAGCTGACTGTTAATAAAAGCCTTCTGTTTAATAGGACTACCACGATATCGATATCGGCTAGGAAATGAAATAATGCGTATACCATCACAAATCACCGAATTAAATAGCTATTTAGGTCCCACTGTAAAATCAAAAACGCTCAGTACAAAGGCTTGTCATGATCAATTTGGAACATATAGTCGAACCTCCGATATGGCACCTTCCACTTCGATATCGACCAGTCAGTGTAAAATACAGACTGCGGACTGGAGACCGGGGATAAAATGCAGACTGAAGGTAAAATGCAGACTGCAGACTGCACACTACAGACCTTTTAATATATATCGTCGGCGTTATTTCCATTATATTCACTATTTCTAACCGGAAACAGGGTTGTTCAGGCTAATCGCAGTGAAAGTTTGCAATGCTCCGGTTATAGCGTGAATATCACTCAGGTTGGCTTAAATAACGCTCCGGTTTGCCTACTTACGGTTAGCTCTCAATGATGGAAACGGCAACACAACTCAGTCAAAAAGACTACAGTCTGCATTTTACCCCTGGTTTCATTTTACCCCACATGGTCCGCAGTCTGCAGTCCGTAGTCCGCAGTCCGCAGTCCGCAGTCCGCAGTCATTATTTTACACTGACCGGATATCGACAGTTCTATCCGCAACTGACCTTCTCTTCTTGATACCATGCAAACTGGAAAACCTTTTTACACTTAGCAAACTACTGTGCAGCCCCTTAGATTCGGGTAACGGTTCTTGATTACCTCGAGGAGGTCTTCATAACTATTATTTTCCTCAGTAAGAAAACGGCGGACAGACTTCATGAAGGATGTGGTTTCCAGGTCTTTCGATAGCGACAGGAAGTGCCAATATTTTTCCGATTCAGGTAACACAAGAAAGTGACAAAAACACACACACAAAAAACGAAAATCGAACTTCAAATTCCGTTTTCAATATCTTATAAAAACGAAAGACGAGAAAAGGAAATGACATTTAAAATTCTATTGTCCAAAGTTGTGGGAAAGCGAAAAACGAAAATAAAAGTTGAAATTCCATTTTCAATGTAGTAGGAAAACGGGAAACGAAAATGGAATCTCGAATTCCCTTTTCCGATGGTGTGGGTAAACGAAAAACGAAATTGGAAGTTCGAATTCCGTTTTCCCACATAGTAGGAAAATGGTTGGCACTAAGGTACACGCATTTAGAATGCCCCTTGTTTGTCTCGCTTTGCAGCCGTTTATTTTTATTCACATTCTTTCATTAAATGAACAGTGAGTATTGCAAGAATATAAAATCTAGAAATGACATCAGCTCGGATTTTTTTTTTCTGAGTTGATGTCATTTCTAAATGAACAGTATGCGTCGTAATGAAAGTAACAAAAAAACAGCAACATCTCTTTTACCCGGCCACACATCTGCAATGTGCTGCGTGGACACTGGCGTCCTTTTTATGAAGGCAAACCCACGCATCGTGCGGCTGATTGTTAATTCTCTGGGACGGAATTACTTTCTGTTTAATGAAGCAATAAGGGATATTGTCTCCAACTGAATGACACCACAATGGTTTAAAGTGGCCACTGATGATAAACTCATACGCTTCAAGTGACGTGAAGGATTTTAGACTCCCCTTCGTGTAAATTCCCGGCGTTCCGATTAAATACGGGTACAGATCCCCAATTGTTAAATCTGGCCAAGAACTGGGATTATTTGTCCATTCTTTCAAATTATCTGGGTCGGGAAGGCTACTTGCGCCTTTGTTGTAGCTTAATTTAAAATGATATCGTGATCTTGCAACAGGATCGAGACTTTTTACTTCGGAATCGCACGTGGAAGCCACGAAAATAAAACGAAGCCGCCTTTTTGCCAACCACTGAAGTGTGCATGTCTAAGAATGAAGTCAATGTCTATAAACGAGAAACATCGCTATTCTTGCAGGTACGAAAGGAGTCATATTCTGAGGACATGCACAGACCTATTCTGTTACCCCATTGGTTTATCAAAATGAATCTATGTATCTGCTACATGCTAGGCAGAATAAAATATATTGCTGTCTATATCGTAAGACATCGTGTTTGTTTTATCTGAGTCCACTAACCATGCATCAGGCTGCTTAAGGACGCTCGCGCGAAAATTTTTCCACTCAATAGCTATTTTTTAAATTTTTACTGCAGTCAGATAATGAGTAACTTGTGTCAAAAATGCAAAAAAAATTGGGTTCACCAACTTCGTTTCAGAGATAAAGCGTGTGAGAAACTATCATGATTTTAAAAAATTGCCGCACGTAATTCAGCATGGTTTACAGAGGTTTATAGTTAACAATATCGAAGGTGAGTCAACGGAGGCAAACGATCGAAGTCATATTTTGTAGAAGTGGGTCTGTTGCGTAAATAATTCCAAATGTTACCAATGTTTTCACAA